AGAAGAAAGAATCAAGAATAGGAGAGACGAGTAGAGTCGAGCGAGTGAGTGTTAAGTAGCCGTTGATATTTGATGATAATAGGAAGGCGACACGTGAGAAGGGAGCGTGGGACAAGCGCGTGCTGCCATAAAAGCCAAACACGAGATTAGGTCAGGGGTATGAAAGAAGAAGAGCAGAGCATAAAATGGGTTGGCTTTGGGAATAGTGGGATGGAGACTTTCCCTGTAATACCGTCCACAACGCCAGAGGGATTCCAGCAAGAGCCTGAAGTGGACAACCACGTCCATCACTCTTAAACACATTTTGGTTTTGTTTTTGTTGCATTTCGTTTTCCTTCCGGCCCTAACCTCGGATAAAATTTCTCAACAACCAATCGCAGCTTTCTTTGGGTAACCAAATGTAAACCTAAATTCTACTGCTCAAGACTTTGGGTTTCAGGTATCAGCTTTGTTGACTAAGGGGTTTCATCATTATCATCAGGATCAATTATTGACTTAAAATGACAGTTCTCCAAGTCAAATTCTAGAAACAGTTGAAGTAAATGCAGAATTTTAATCTTAACGTTGAATCGGAGAAGAAAAAGGAGATTAGGATCTGAACTCGATACACCCTTTGAAATTACACCAGTAACAATGTAGAAAATATTAGTACAAATAGTTTCTTTGCTGGATTTCTTGTTGAATTGGTTCGACGGTGGCTGGCTATGGGCCAACCCTAGAATGCCAGATCATGGACAGACAAAATCCAATTGTACAAGCTGCCAGGCCATGTCTGGCTCTACAGCCCAAGCTGGCATTTTCGAGGCAGATATTTAGCTCCAAAGACTTGGCCCGCCTCCAAACCATATTTGATATCTGGTTACGCATTAGTCGGGTCCAAATCTACGAAGGTCCAGAAGCAAGGCGTAGATTGCCAAGATCTAGTGGGTGGCACTGACACGATTTCCCACTTGCTCTTTGTCATTTCCTACGGCTTTTTTCGTGTTTTACCTGAAAGCAAGCGGCAGTGTTTAGCCAGAGAACAGGGTGCAAAGAATCTTACATTTCCCTCCCCCTCCAATTGATAAGCTCTTTGCTTTGCCTCTTGTTCATGACAAAAAATTTTCTGAATATATATTATCATTGTAAATCGGAAAAAAGTCAACTTAAATTCAATGATCTTAAACCTCCTTTTTTTAAAAAAAAAAAAATTGAACTTAACAAAGTCCAGCCAAAATGGTCCAAACCCATACTTGTAGTAGTCAAGCTCAGTGGGATTTGAGCACTTGTGATCAGAACTCTTAAAGAAAGGTTTGCAAACATCTGACAAAATTCCAACTGCCCCTGTCTAAGCAGACCAATAACACACAGAAACCACGTGCACACGAATTTACTCCCTTTCGCCATCATGGGATGCACTTGAAAACATTAATTATAAAATCATACTCGTATTATAAGATTGACAAGTCTCATGCTTGATCCTTGCCCCTACTTTTAAATGATACTCATCAATCAAAATATAGTCGCTTTAGGGGCATTCCCCCCAAATATATAATCTGTTGTCCGTAAAACCCTTGGGTTCTTTGTTTTTATTATTAGCTATTACTATCAAACTGATCATGAATTCTATGGCTTCAAGTTGAAATGGAACCATCAAATGAAAGAGTAAAAGATTACCCTTTTGATTCTAGGCAATGCAGCTTGATGGCGATGAGGCAGCCTAACAGCTTCGTTAGCCGTCGTAGAAAAATCATGGTTTAAGTTCTACCGACAACGTCAAGCTTTCAGACTACAACGTGGGAACTCAAAACAAGTGATGTAACCCCATGATTTTCTTCTAGTACTTTTGACCTTTTTCCTGCATGGGGCTGTTTGAATTCAGATTCACGGAAAAGCATAGAGCCATTGATTTCAGTACCTTTGGGCATTGGGGTATAGCCTGGATGTAGCCACATTCCCTAATCATCGAATTTAACCTCAGTAATGTGATTGGACTGCTGGCCACGCAATGTCAAGCACATATATTATTATTATGATTATTATTATTATTTACTTAAAACAAGGGAAAGGTAAAATCCCTTACCATTTATCCCTTGGTGCCGCTTCTCACTTTTCTGTCTTTTCCTTCCCTCCCAAAAGATCCAAAAAGCATTAATTTACTCTCCAATCCATCGCACCACTGCTCAACCTTTTCTTTAAGCCTTCAAGTTTTTAACAAGTAGAGGTGGTCATTTGCTTAATGAGATGGCAGTGGCATTTCGGTTGCTGTGCTTCTTAATTAATTATGTTGATTAAACCCAGCAATCAAAACAAGATGAATAGAGGAAAATCACAGCAACGGTAGGAATTAAATGTCCATAATTGGATAGTAATTCTTTCATGGTATTATAACATTGCATTCATAAAAATAAAATGAAAATCCAAAATCACTTACAACAACACCAGAACTATATGGAAAATCTCCAAAAAAGAAAAACTAATTT